CCAATCAGATGCGCTGATATAGAATCATTTGTAATGAAAGTGACGTAAGCGGCCACAAAATCACTGCACGTAACTGAATACTTCGCCTTTGGCACTGCATCCTTTTTTTCCTGTCTGCTCTTCTCTTTCTTTTTCTGTTTTCTTTTCTCGCTTTTTTATTCGATTTTTGGTAGGTAGCTTATTTGTAGGTAATTCGTATTTTTAATTTAAACTTAGGGTTTTTTAGGTATTTTGTAATTTGGGTTTAGAATCTTTTTGGGGAATTTTCCTTTTTTTTTTTTGCTTTTTTCTCTACTTTACTACTTTGGGTTGTTTTTGTTTCCTTTTATCTTCCTAAAATTTGCCTTTTTCCACAACCGGTATTAACAGCGATTCAAACGCTGTGGGTTATGTTGGGTGGTTTTCTGGCTGCATGCGTCACTTTTCTTTGCGATCAATCCATATCAGTGCTGATGATTAACCGAATGCAAAGACGTGGAGACTGGGACTCATCAAGTATAACATCACGCCATTACTTCACCAGGGAAAGGAATAACGTAATCGCCTCAGTTTTCTTCAGTCAAATTTCCATCAGATCATTATTAAAAATTGTGAACTCATAGAGTTGTCCATTTGTTGGTGTGATTTTTCGCGCTATTTCCTTTATCTTACTTTGATTTGTTGTAATAATTATTGTGAATAAATTTTAATGAAAAAGAAACAAGATTTTGCATAAATATATTTTAAAGTCCATCTTCTTACCCTTTTGCTCTCGATTTGCAGATAATGGGCGATTTACATGTTTCATTATTCCCATTAGTTACCATTCTCTCACCTCGGTTTGGATTGTTACTCTCAGGGGCATTTCAGATTTGAACGATTAATGACCTTGTTTACGGTTTTGATTTTTTTCCAGTTGTGACCGGTTTATAAGGTCAGCTGGCCTCAGTTCGAGAAGAACTCAGCTGAGACGGTGGACGATTATTGACGAAACCAAACTGTTGAATTGGCAAAGAAGTAAACGAAAAGAAGCACCTATTAAGCAACGAAACATACCAGACACTCCATGAAACCACAAGCTTCGGAAGGGGGAAGGGGTTACCATGCCACCAATTTGGGATACATTAAAAAACCAGGGAGTTTGATGGTGCAGAATGCAGAAATAATTATTTAATATAGAAACTGTTCAATTACCCAGGAACTCGCCCAAGATACAAAGTAATGACTTTTGTCAACCGGGAGGAAAGTTTTTTTGACCTCTGTCGTTTGTGCAGAACTTTAATTTTGACTTTTTAAAACCGCCAACTTGCCAAAGTTTTGAGACGATCACCATTATTATCAGCAGTATTATTATCATTATTTTTTACCTTCGATGAATTATAGTGATTTCTGATCGCAAATTTCTTCACTTAATACAAAGCAAGCGCTATTTTCATTCAGCCATTAAACAAGGGCGTCACTTAAGTAAATCCAAATTACTGTTGCATTTATGCTTTCGTTCAGTGCTATATTGATACAATACCATTAAAGGATTATTTTTTATTTACAACAGAGCACTCAAAACCCAGCGAATTTAAAATAATTCATACTAAGAGACCACGCCCTTTTTCAGATTTCTTACATTAACAAATGTTTTTTCTTAAGAAGGTACTTGCAAAAATGTTAAGAGCTGGTGGAGTTGGCTCTAAAGCACCTTATACTGAATTTTACCTTCATGTTGTCTCTTATCTGGTGTAGAAGACACAGTTGCCGTAAAATAATTGAGAACAAAAAGACAAAAGAACGGGGAGAGCAATGAAAACGATGTAATAATAAAGCGGTGTTCTGCTGTCCTGTGTCTCCAACACTAAGGAGCCTATATGTTTCAGCTAAACATCCACACGAATTGTGATAAATTATAAAGGAGTCTATAGTTTTAATTAAAAATATTGATTTACAAACGTAGAATTTGAAAATATTCCTATTAGATTACATGCTAAACTGAATTTTTAAACCTATTCCAGATGGTTTTCTTTTAACACCAAAGGTAGTGTTTCAGTCGTTTTCTCAACTGATACGACTAACGACGCACTTATCTTAGTGTTACCGTTAATAATTCATCAATACTTTTCCGTTCCAGTACAAAGTTGAAAGGCGTCACTTGACAGAATATGTCCTAGCTTACAGTGAGGAATATGCAGCATTAGTATCTACAAAAACAGTGGATAGCGTTGAAGGGGTTCTCTGATTGGCTACTCAACTCCGAATACCCTTTGCTATTCAGCCCCAAGCAACTAGCACGGGATTTATAATCATTGTAGGAATAAATGAGTTAAAATAATCCTTTTTGTGCTATATTATCCCACTGTTTTAGTAAATACTAAAAGAACTATCACCTCAGTGTCTGTGGCTAGCGGTGGACATTTACCACTTACATCTCCACTTGGTGAATAGTTGGTAATTATATTCCATCAAAGATTTTTGCTCGCCCGCATTGGTCTAAACGCGGTGATATTCCTCAGTTTTCAACGCTTACGTCTTATAGGATAAAAGTCTACGTTTATACCTTATTTATGATTAGGGGGCGATCTTTGGTATTTTCAAAAGAAGGAATAACTATATTTGTTTGTTCAAAGGATTCAAATAATACGAGTGATATTGGTAAAAACTAATATTGATAAAATGAAATAAAATAGTACGGCCCATTCACGAGAGAATTGTTTTCAAATACATTGTTTTGGGTGAAATGTTGAATGTTAAACACCTGTGTCACTTGAACAATACCTTAGTATTAACATAGTACAGATTGACGGAATTTTATATGATAAATGCGGTTTGTTGTAAAACCGTGTACACTTGCACATTTACATTGAAAAACTACTTCATCCGATCAGTTTTGATATTCTCATTGATCTTTGTTTTGATCTTTAGTTATCATTTCGTTTTTGTGTGTATTGCGTGGACCACAGAATCTGCTTCACTCATTTGGTATTCAATGGCGTACGACGCGAGCCACAAAAAAAATGCTTCCAGCACATCATGATGAATTTAAGATGCATTGGGGAAGATCACAAGAAAAATACTCTTAAACTACGAACTTAATTTAAATGAAAGTTTTTTACGAAGTCCTGTCGCACAAAGAACAATATTTCGGAACAGGAACAGTTTAATAGAAAAGAAAAGCCTAGGAAAAATAGTAAACCACGGGAAAAAAATCATTCTCTCATCTTTTTTGTCATGAAGAAAATTTACCACTGAACCTCAACTTCATGTACTCGACCCGGCTTTCCTAGCTTCCGTCAAGACATATCCGTTGCTAATCAATTACGTCCATCATGTGTTCATAAGAGCGTCAGAGACATAAACCAACTGCGGGCTCATCTGAATCTCGGAGACAAACTACCGTACGTACGTGCCTTGGTTAAAGACATTTTCAGAGAACCTCACGTCACGTCTTCTAGAAGAACTGTGTAGCATCTGTCACAAACTCGTCGAGGGATGCGATCTCCTGGCAGATTGAGAACAGAAGTTCGTTTTGAAGTGCATGAAGCGCAAAAAATGCCTCCACACTTGCGGCAGTGATGCTGTAGATTAATAAAAAATAAGAAAACACCCATAAGAAACCATACAAAAATGTCTTGGTCGAACCTATTTTGCTTGCTTAATATGTTCCGTCCTACTTGCGACAGCTACAAAGTTTTCTTTCTTTTATTTTTCTTTCCTCTTCTGGAGAGACTGGTAAAATTTCAAGACAAAACCTTCAAACCAACGGGCCTTTCTTTTCTCAAAATCCTATTGCTAAATAAAGTATTGATGTTGTAAGGAGAAGGAACCAGTTGCACAATTGTGTACCTTCCTGTTCACCAATGAAAACTTTGTCTTGCACGCCATGCAGTTCTTAACCAAATCCTCTGAGACCCAAGCCCTAGTGACAAGGCATGCTGTGTGTGTATTACCGCATTCCACATGACGGACTCGCTTGCCATCCATGTCTAGTTCACAAGGCACTGGTCTGTAGGAAATCAAGAATGAACAAATTATTCTAACAAAGTTTGCCAATTATCTTCAGCGGAAGGAAAGAAATAACCCCTGAACTATTTTGTCTGGCAAGATTTTTCTAAGTTTTCCGTATCTGTTCCATTATTTTCTTAAATTCGAAACTAATCTGTTGTTTTATAGGACTGAAATCATCCAACCTAGTTCCCAAGGTCTCTCTTCCTATCGCTTGACCTCATCTCCAAGAAAGTTGAGCGCCACCAAGCCCTCATTTGGGGGAACAACCTGTCGGTTTGGGTATCTTAACATTTAGCCTACATCTGTCCAGTTCATCTTCAAATCATGTTTTAGGAGTCTCCTTCAAGTTGAAACGCGGGGTTGCTTTTAATATCTCGAAACAGAATTCCTTTCCACAAATTTAAAAATGTCAGAACAATGTCGGGGAGCATGACTATTTAGTCCTCACCTGTCTCTTGTATCACCGTGACCTAAGCGACCTGCTTTTCCCTTTCCCCACGTAAATATTTCTCCTGATTCTGAAAAAAGAGGATTGTGAAGAACCACACTTGATTAACTGTCTCCAGTGTACACACCGTACTTCAAAGGTTAACATACCCGAATTTTAACATAGATCCCCCCCTCCCCCAGTTTCATCTTCCCCCTCGCCTCCGCACAAAATTTAAGTTTCAACTGTAGCCAGGATGGAGCGCTTCTTGATCGGGTGTCGTAGAATCAAAACCAAGCTTATCTCAAGGGAAAGTCAGAAATGGGGACGAGAACACAAACAGCCAAGAAATGAGGACTTTAAATAAAAAACAGTCAACTGTATGAAGGGCGGAACAACGCCTGTGACTGACGGGATTGGTTTTAGTAATACAGCTGATTGGTTAAGAAGGGTGCTCGAATTTCCAGACCAATAAGGGGAAGTGAATGAAACCCTGGGCAATCTCGGATTACTTTGGAAATTCAACTGAAAAAATTGCTCTGGTAGGATGATCTCGTCTTACTGACCTGTAACAGCGGCTGTATGAGAAGCTCCGCACGAAAGTTGCATTGCTTTGGAAGCTCTGAAGTGAGCGGATAGTTGAATGCGGGTGGGTACATTTACCCTTAAGATTGTCTCTCCGGACTTGTTTTTTTGGTTCATTCCGAGTTGGTTTTCTGAGTTATCGCCCATTCCAAACAGCTTTCCTTTTTCTAAAACAACAACAAAAAAAAAAATAAAACAAAAAAAAAACCAAAACGAAATAAAAACAAAAACAACATGTTAAATAAATCTAGCAGGGTTCTATCACAGATGCTGCAAACTGATTGGTTGCCCTACTCGCTATCTATTTCGCGATATCTAGTGAGTATAAAGGTAGAGTGTAGGACACACGCTCCTTATGAAAGAGTTTATACTCGGGGGAAGGGGGACAGGAGGATGGAAGAAGGGGGTCGGGAGAGTGGGGAAAATCGAACATATGAAATTACTCACTTGATAAGAACACTGTGTGCTTGTCTCCACAACTTACATCAATTATCACTTGATTCCTACAGAGAGAAAAAGAGCGGACTTAAAGAAGAAAAGACCTTGAATCTCCTGTAAATTTTCTACATTTTTCTAGCTCACGTTTTTTAGGTGACTATAAACCTAAAGTGACGCATAAGCTCCAAATCTGTTACACAAAGGAGTTTGTTTCTTGGTAATTTCCAGCCCAAAAACTCGTACATATTAGGCTGAGTTTGAGATTTTTTATTCCTTTTCTGATCCCTTCATCCTGTTTGGTTACGTATTCAGAGTCTCTATTTGTGATTGCAACTCACACAAAGGAGCCAGATGCATCAACATTTCTTACTGTTACTTTTGACTCGAAGCCTGGTAAGTTCATTGGGGCAGATACATGTCTTCATTTCGGTACCTCCTCACAAATTCAACGCTCAGGCCATGTGACGCTCATAAAACAAATCAGTACTTTCAAACTCATGTTAATTTCTACAAGCGAATGAATTCGAAAGTTTACATCTCCTATAAGTTACCTTAATTCTGCCAACGTTGACAAAGTGATCGGATTGCACGAGAGGCTCAGATTTTCCACTCCTAGTTGACCAGACCTGTTATCACCCCACGTCCACAGACATCCAGTATCTAAAACAAGAAATAACTTATAGACAAGGAAGCAAATCACCGTTATAGCCTCTAAATAAATTGAACCAAAAAAAAAATTGTGACAACATTTTCCCCACGTTTACCACTTGCAATCCATTTCAATCTCTTTCATCCTTTACCATCCTCTTTCTTTCATACTTCATTCTGGCACCTTTTTTGTATCTCTATCTTACCAAACTAATATTTAGTAATCTCCTTTAAGTTAACGATGGTTTTCACGTGCCCAAAAAAGATTCAAAATATCGCAGGTAAGAAAACTTCATCACTCTAAGGATAGACGCACAATGAATAGGGCTGGCTTGATTTCTGAAATCTCTCCTAATCACTCCTCGGCAATTTCGATACATTCATATTGAGATGGCGAGTTTGGATGGTAACCAAAATGTTGATTATTGTAGCCAAGATCTCATTATCCGAAAAGGGCTTCTTCTTCATCCTGGATGAACCCTCCAGTCGGGTTGCCCGGATAGAAATTAAAGTTTGCACTTTGTTCATCTCGGTTACCGACCTGACATTTCATGCAACTCATAAACATACAAAAATGGTAGGCAAAACTCGTCGCGATAATGTAGTCAAGGGGCCCGTTCCTCAACGTACCTGTAAATAGCGGCCCCGAAAAGCTATCCGTTTTGCGTTTTTTTTTTTGTCCAAAATACCAGATCTACACGAATTCGAATTTCCCACAATAAATATACTAGGAAAATGACACAGAGTAGACGAGTTTTCTACCTAAAAGAGTACTCCTGTTTCTTAGATTTAAATTTTTAGCTAAGGTTTCAAGAGTCTATCTCTTTAACTCCTAGCAGTTAGCGCTCCTGGAATGCTGTACTCTGTTTCCGTGTTTACATTTAGGATCAACAATGACATCGAGAAAGGAAAAATAATGAATTGCATTTGAGCGAACACCTTAATTACTTTTAAGATATCATTAGTAATTCTTCTTACTGTCTGTCATACAATTCTTATGATGTTAGTGTTGAGAATTTGGTATTAGATCAACTAATAATCCCCAACTGATATTTTTCTTTACTCCCATCACTTGTCTGCTTGATATTGTATTGATATTGTAAGGAGAAATTCTGCTTTGGTCACTCGAGGGAGTTAAGGGTTCACCAAGAGTTCTTGACTCACCGGATAACACTGCACTGTGACGCGCTCCACAAGCCACGTACAAGATGTGATGACTCTCCAGCTCGTGTGCTCTCAATGGCTCATAACTCATGTTGAGTCCTTTGATTCCGAGCTGGCCAAATTCGTTGTCACCAAAAGCAAGACACTGTCCGTTCTTGGTGCACACTGTGGATTTTAAAATGTACACCTGTTTAATTACTCTCGTCGCGGTTTGCTCTCCTTCAAACATTTAGGAATCTGTCATTGTTTATCGTCTGGAATGGGGATCGGGAGACTTTTTGTAGGGGGGGAGGTCACATGGTTTTCAGGGGGAACAGTTGTCTGTAACAGAGTTTGAATGACAAAAAGGGGGGGAAGGAGATTAGGAGAAAACTAAAGAGCCTTACGGGGGAATCAGGTAAATTTATGGGGACAAAACCAAAATCCCCCTTGTCGATTAATAATGACCGTTCCCATAGCAACAATTCTCCAGGTTGGCCATTTGAAATCCATTACAAATCGTTTTGGTTCCTTTTTCATTCATCCTCTCCATTTCGTGCTTTTCTTTTTCAGCGAATTTGAAAATTTTACTTAACTTCACTTGAGAAATGATTTTATTGAAAACGAAGAACACAGCTTTGATTTCAGTCGTTGGCGAATTAAACCTTAAAATTGGGAAAGGTTTAAAGAAACAATTTTTTTACAGAAACAAATTCTGTTCACGGCATGCTGCAAAGTGAAGCCCCCAAACCTATATAATAACGCAAATCTTCTAAAATAATGACGATGTTGTTCAAATTTCGTTGATGTTTAACAAAATAAATTTCTATAAAACTAGTAAAGTTGCCAGCTTCCTCTATTCAAGTAAGCTCCTGATAGGTGAAGACGTACTTTAGTCCTATGCGTGATGGAAAACGTGATATAGATAGATATTTATCCCACAAGTTTACCTAGAGTATGGGCTTGTCCACAAGCCACGTGTGAAACTCGGTGTTCTTCAAGTCCTTCCACCAATCTTGGTAGTATTTCTTTTCTTGTAGCGCTCTCATATCCAAGCCTTGGACCTCCTTTGCCCCATGTGTATAATTCTCCTGTAGCTGTCAACATCAATGGAAAGTCATGTGAGCTGATCGACTGAATATTACAAAATTAACAAACCAAACAGAAACAATCACGACAGCCAATCACAACAAAGGTACGCTACGATACGAGAACTCAGACTCATTCCAGTCTATTCTCTCCTAATAGGAAGACTGCCCACTGGAAGGCTATAAGCGCGGGGAAAATCGAGTGACCAAGTTAAGATCGGTTTTAGTTCGACATGTGATTGGTTGAGAGGATGGTCCGAATTTTTTTTGCCAATCACAAAGAGAAGTAGAGCAAACCCCGATAACTTTCACTCTTTTAATACTCAGTTGGAAATTGCGTTAAGCTCAGGCCCTTCTTTTTTGTTTTTGTGTTTTTTTTTTTAATTTTGCGCAAGATAAGGCACAAAAACAAATTATTACTATTCCAGAAACATTGCGGCTTTCATTTGGGAAACCGTTTGTTTGGTTGGTTTTATGTGCCTTGACAAAGGCACAGATATATCTAACGCAGGTCCGGACAATTCTCAACAATCAAGAAGAAATTGCTCTGGGCTAGAGTCGCTTTGTCTTTTTTTCCCTTGGTTTGGTAGTCTGGACGTTTGCGCCTAAGCTTGTGTTCTTTGAGTCCCCACGTCGCCACAGGGATATGACGCGTCATTATCTTACCACAAACTGCTGCTGTGTGGAATTCGTGACACGCAATTGTCGTTATTTTCATGTCTTTCAATGCAGCAACTCTGAGCGGGGTCGATCTGTCTCTAAGATGTCCTTGTCCAAGCTTGCCACCATACCCTAAACCCCAAGAAAACACTTCTCCTTCGCCTAAAAAAAAAACAAACAAAAGCGAAACAAAAGTTTATTTAAGTTCCATTGAGTATAAAAACTAACTATTGCTCTCCCTACCTACCAGCTCCGAGAAGGAGGTAGCCTACAGTGCAGGCGTCTTCTCAGGGCGTGTTAACGTTACGAGCCCGCGATCGTTTGGTTGGCACTTCACTGTTCATGCAGTGCGACTTACTTGTTAACACAACAGTGTGAGTGGTTCCACAGGCTATTTTCATCACATCCTTTGATTGCAATGCCTCTACAACTTTGGGAACATTCTCCTCGGCATTTTCACCATGCCCCAACATTCCTGTGGAGCCATTACCCCACGTGTACAGGTCAAAGGCATCTGTATATAAAAATAAAGCACAATCACTCTCTTTTAATCTCTGATCACTGCTAGTAAGTGTCGTGGGATTTCTTGGTTTTGCTTCTACACGACCTGCTCTTCTTAACATCAGAAAACTTGTTCTACCACTGACCCAACCTGATACAAACTAAAAGCACCTCTGCCATTCGTGTTTAACTCTGAGTTCTCACTGGTCATGGTAATACAGTGTTCTCCTTTTCAGGCAGTAACGGATAACATTTACCGCCTGAAGTACCCCTTATCACCGTTTAAAGTTGCTTGGAATTCTTGAAAATTCAACAGATAGAAAGATCCCTTTACCGGTTTGAAAATTTATTTTAGCTGTCACGCTTAAAATAGGGGAGAACACTGTAATACATGATTGTAAATTTATTCAAAAGGATCTGACTTTGTATTTCTGTCTTCAAAAAACCAACGCTGCAAAGCATATACCAATATCATAAAGATACCTTCATTACGCTGTTGTCCATTTGCAGTCATGGGTTGCAAAGGGATCTAAAGAAAAGGAAATCATTTGCACACTGGTAAATGAGTGGGTCAAGTCAACCACTGTTATCTTTTTCTCCAACATGCTAAAATTATAATGTTTGAAATGAAATTTAACAAGTTGATGTCTACACTACATATGACAATGATGATAATGGGGACATGTAAGTTGCAGTGGTGACAATGACAAAAAAAAAATTGAATGATTAATTCCATATGATCATGAGTTGTAATTGTATCTTTAACCCTTTAACTCCCAGGATGTAATTGTTTTTCTCCCCTCTAGCTGTTGCACATTTTCTTGAAAACCAGTTAGGAGAATTTGGCATCAGATCAAGATAACAACCTCTATGTGATAAGTTTGAGTATTCTTAATAGCCTTTTACTGGATGATGCATGAATATTATAGGGAGAAGTTACACATTTATCACTTCTGGGAGTTAAAGGGTTCAAGATTTCATGTGAAGGGAAATTACAAACATTGTATTTCATGACCTACCAATCAGAGAAAGTTAGGTTGTCAGGCAGTTTTGAAGGACTGTAGCATGCAGCTAACTTGTAGCGTTACTCCCATGGGAAACAAAAAGTGGTTAGAGTTAGAAGGGTTTGTTAACAGGATTGGTGTTGAATTTCAATTACCATGTTAATGATTAATTAGGAACTGTGTTTTTACCACGATTCTTGCACAATCAACAGTCATTTCTGTGTTATTTAGTTTGCTTTATGAGAGTTTTTTAGAAAAGAATGTTTAGTTTGATGATCATTTTCTGTATTCTTTTTATCTAAATGTTTGATTCAGCAGTGATGATGTAAGAAGAAATTGGATGCTGAACTCTCTTAGGGGTCAAAAGGTTACCTGAGTTCAAGTTAGATGATAGTAGATGACTGAAAAAAAAGTAGCCCAATCCAAATCCAAACCCAGTGGAAAATATCCTTTGTTCAAGTTAGCAGAATTCTACACATACATGTTCTTTGCTGTTGTAAAAGGCCATTGTGCCATCTTTCACTCACTAACTTTGGCAAAATTCACTTATTTCATAAATGCTGGGCTTTCTCTTTGTATTCTTTTCTTTGTATGTGAAGTGGCCTTTCTGGCCTTATCAACATGTGCAAAAGAATTATAACTGAGGACAGACTGTAACTAACAAATTACCACACAATCTACCCACATCATCCGTTGGTTGTACACGATGGTTATCTATCTCATCTCCATTCTTTCCACTTTTATACAATTCATCAATGACCTTTCTGTCATTAAAACCACTCACCAAGGCCTGTCAGATTAAACAAGTGTATAGTTTGAGTACTGAACAATCAAACTGTATTCTCCAATTAAACCCATAGCCACATCCCCCTTAAGACTAGAAAATAAAAGGAATGAAGTGTAAAGTCTAGATACCATGAAAGTAATATTGAAGAAGAAAACAAAACTTTTTAAAAAATGGGCTAATTTGGTATGATCACCTTAGATGATGATGCAAGTTAGCAGCCATAAAAAGTTTCTAAAGCTGATGTTTTCATTGTTAGCTGTATAATATCAGAGTGAATAGATGAGATAAAGGGGGTAACTTTCTAAAGAAACAGTGGTGCTGTGTCAGTGGAAGAGTATAACAGGTAATTTCATGTTAACAACTGATTGAAAATGTAAATGTAAATTGGCCATCATAAAAGTGTTGGAAGGCTGAAGTTCCTTCACTCCGACAAAGTGCTAACACTCATAATGCCAGCCTTTCAACTCTTTACAGTGGCCAATTTACATTTTCAACTCAGTTGTTGACACTAAATTATCTGAATAGATAGAAGTCTGCTGCTATTCCCTTGACATCTAAGCTGTCCAGAAAGCTTCAAACCTCTAGAATAAAAATGAATCTTTAAAATCAGCACTCTTTATCCCAACAGTATCAATGAACACTTTTTATGCAACTACTTCATTCTCTTTTATTCTTGTTACCATCTTCTCACCAATAGTACAGCTCCACTTTCTGCATTTTAAAAAATACTCAATTCACAATCCCTCTGTTTGCTCTGAGGAAGTGCTAACATTCAGAATATCAGCTTTAGAGACTCTTTACAGTGGCCAATTTACATTATATAATTTACATTGATAACACTGCATTATCTTCCTATACACACCTGATGTAGCACCACAGATTCTTTAGAAACGTACCCCCTTTATCGTTAAAATATGGTTGCACAATGCTTTAATTTACAAAACTTTAAATTTTATTAAACAATTATTTTACAACAAAACATACCTGCAAACCTGATGTCCATGTATCACACTGCTGTTTGTCAAAACAAACAACATCTATTGTCTGCAAACTTTTACCAATCTTGTAAACCACAGAGAAAGACATGGACTGAAAAAGAAGAGGAAATTTTTTACCTCAGACTGATTTCCAATTAAGCAGCCCAGGAAGGGCCTGATTCTCATATTTAAAATTTAACCTTTACAGGTTCATTAATTTGAAATCAAATCTTCAACTAAACAAAAAACAAATCTAAATTTTAAACAAGAACACAGACAAACTAAAACCAAACAAACAAAAATTGAATCAGAATTGAAAATGTCACTTATGTTAAGTTAAAATAACACTTGTGCATGTAATAAAAAAATCACAGATCTCTGAGCAGAAATAACTTCATCTTTCTTTGTTGACCTTCCCACTTCCCACCATGTTGTTATCAATAGACCCCAACACTGAAATGGTCTACAGAAATAAATAGATACATATCTACAGTAAAGCTTGACTGAGAAAGGCTGGCCAAGGTGCTGTTCAACTCCATCGAATTAAAATGCTCAACATTTATCAAAACATTTTATCTCTCCCAAAAAGAACTTGTAGAATTATTAAAAAGTACATGTTGGTATAGCTATGACAAAAAATTGAGATCAGTTCAATTATTTAAATAATCTATCATGAACAATCCACTTTAACTACTACAAGAACTGGAAATTTGAACCTACAATGTATCATGAACACATGAGGCAATGTAATGTAACAGAATTCATAACAAAAATTATTTTTCTTTACCTCTCTCTGTGGAATAGGGCAGTTCTGAAATACTTTGGTCTTTTGTCCTTTTAAAAGCTCAGTCATTTGTGAAGTCGATACTATAGAGGTTACAAAATTACACTCAGGTTGAATAGCAACAGCAATTATTGCAGTGAACGTAAATTAAAATAAATCCAAGTTGATTTTAGTTACAAATATCAGAGAAGATTCTTTATGCACAGGACTGCTCTGTAAAAAACCCAAGTTCAAAACTTGGGGTCAGTTCCGTCACACTTTTCTGTCAGAACCATAAAGTACAACTTTTTCACATACAGGCTTTAGGGACTAATTGGAAAGAGAATAGAAACACTATAATAAGGCTATCAAATTTCTCATTTGCTTTTTACATACTTTTTATATGCTTTTCACATGCGTTTACATGCAAAGATTGTGTGCAGATCATTGACCTGTTGTTTACAATAAGCATTAATGAGTTTGAAGCTTGTGCAAGATAGAGCAAATCTTATTAACTTGTATATGTAAAGAGAAGCAAACTAATTACCAGATTTTTCTCCTTTATTTTTTGGAGTTCCCCATTGTAAATGAGCGAGATCTGCAATAATAGATATTCATTAACAAGAGAAACTTTTGGAAAAGTATTTCAGTCTGTTAATGGTAAAAATGGATGGAGTTCTGTAATTCCCAGACTAATTGCTCAGTTAGTACCCATCTATAAGTTAAAGCTGGCAATCAAATAAGGCTACCTAAGAGGTATTCAACTGACAAAGTTAGCATATTGTGGAAAATTCTGCAATTCTGCCATCACAAAGCAAAGCAGAAGTGATTAACATGCAACTTCTCCCTAAAATATCCACTACATTATCAAGCAAACAGGTAAAGAGAATACTCAAACTTATCAGGTAGAATTTTTTTATTATGATCAAACACCATATTCTCATAACTAGTTTACAAGGAAATGAGTAGCAGCTGGAGGGGAGATTTAATGATCAGATCTTAAGAGTTTTAAGGTTAAAACCAAGGTGTTGAAAAAAGCAAAGACATCTAATTTACAAAGAAAAGTCTGTTGAGAGAAATTTTTGTACATCAATTTATCACACTGTACCTCTTGATAATACAAACTTCTTGATCTGAGGAGTTCCCTGACAAAATAAAACAAAATTAAAAGATTATTTTAAGTAATGTAGCAAAATTAATCAATATCTTTTTCAGTCCTGTAGAATTATTTCACTTCTCCCCATTAATATTTCAGACGAGAAAGATTACAAATAAATTTGGAAAAAGTTTGCTATTCACCCCTGCCTGCCAATTCATTAGATGTCATATTTCCTCAAACAAGCACCCACGCTCGAATAAAATTCCTCCCTCCTCCCCCCAAATAAGTACCCACCCCCCTTCCCCCTCCTCCCTCACTTTCTTAAATAGTACAAGCAAAAACCTGTTTCTATGACATGACACTTTACCTATAACTTTTTAAGCTTCAACTACAACGAAATCAGTACAGGTTGAAATTTTTTTATGAGCGCTACCCTCGATTGAGTGCCCTCCTTCCGGTAAGCGCCCCTCCTTTGAGCCGAAACTATAAATAATCGCCTGGGCGCTAGCTTATTCGAGGAAATACGACTATAACATGATATCGTCTATCGCCCCATCTCAGTGACATGCGTTATCTTAAACCTAGGTAACTATGACAGGAAATACTTACATGCCGCTTGACCTTGAGCATGGCAGAACCCTTTGTCATTTTGAACAACGACAGTACTGGGGATTCCACAGAATCAGCTGAATCTGGGTTACAGCTCGCCATTTTCAGATCCAATGACCAGTTACACAATGGTTAAAAGAAACACCATCAACCTCAAATCATTTATACAACGCTTCATGTTCTATGAAACTCAATCAAAGTATTTTTCTGGTGAATAACGATGACAAGGGTGTACTTTTCCGGAAAATTCTTCGTTTGATTTTCCGCCATCTTGGATTCTTCAGAACATACAATGCAGTCTGGGAAGAGAATAAAATATTAGTACCCAGTCTTTTCGCATTTCATGCGCGTGTAATGTCTGCGTAACATAAACATGGCGAACTTTGAACAACTTTTCATGGATTGAGAAAGCCGTTGTTTGGAGAAAAATCCAGACGATCCATTGGAGAATGATGGAGGCATTTATTATTGATCCAGCTAGACTAATAAGTGACATAGTGGGTGGGTATTTTTTGAGTCAATAGTCAATAAATTAGGAAATTCAGCCTATCTTTGCGTGGTTAAAACCCAATTCACACAGCAAATGAAATTTTTATAAGCGATTTTCACACATTTTCTCCTAATGTTCTTGTGTGGCAAAGATTCAGCGCTGATATAAAGCCGCAAATTTACAATTATAATGTAATATTCTTGATGTTGTCAAAGGCCATGCATGGGTGCGATAATTAATTCTTCGTATAAATTTTGTTAAACTCGTGATCAGCTCGCTTCGGTCAGACAGATTTCACACTTATCATATGCTTTACGTAATTTTAGTTCGAGCATGTAATTGCATGTGGAATGGCTCAATATTTTCCTTGTTTTAGATTTATTTTCGAAATCCTAAGATATGATCATGTGTTTCTGTCCCGTACTGTGTCCTTGATGTAAACTAGGTCAAAGTATGAAGCTTGAGCTGATCGATGAATCCATAGTTTTATATGCACTTTTTGTTTTATTTTTTGGCTACAAACAATTGCTTCCATGATCATCTAAATGATGAGTCATTTAATGGGGGCTTTATGACGGAGGCAGAGAACGTGTTTCCCTGGGTAATTTCTATTTTCTTGCATGGGTATTGAACAAAAATCTACTATCATCTTTAATTAAAATTGTGGGGTGTTTTGGATTTTTAGGTTGCATATCAGAATTAAGAAATGTACACCAGTCATCACAACTACCTGTGACTGATGATGAGACAATTCTTCATAAGTTTTGTGTCAAGCTTGAAACAGTTCTAAGACACGAACAGAAGGGTATGTGTCTAAAAGTACTAGATGCTGATCTATATTTTTGTTGTCTCCTTTGTTTTGTTTTTAAAATTTTAATTAATAAGTTGAGTTTCAAATCAAGCTAGAGCTCCAAAAATTTGGCTTCATTCCAGCTTGGTTCTGACATTCGCAAAAGTGCTTGATCTCCACCTCTTGTGATAGATGTCCTTCAATAGTCTAGCCCTGTTATGTCTTGGAGTGGCCAAGACAGAATTTCACCCTACAATAGCTACTACAATATCTAGCAGACAAAAACTATCAATCAGGGGATCATTTGCCAATTGAATGCTTAATTGTCAGAACTAATGTCGAAAGAATTGTGTGGCCAACATTAATAAGAATCACTAATGAGATCTTGGTGGTGAAAATGGTTAACTATCGTTTTTTTAACCCTTTAACTCTTAAGATCTGATTGTTAATTCTCCTTTCTAGCTGTTACACTTTTCCTAGTAAATTAGTGATGAGAATTCGGTGTTAGATCAAGATGACAACTTTGAGATGATAAGTCCAAGCATTCTTGTTACCTGTTTGCTGGATATTGTATATATGTTTTAAGGAGAAGTTGCATGTTAATCACTTCTGGGAGTCAAAGGGAAACCTTACAGAGGGTTTTGCTGGTTGGATATTATTGGAGTAATGAATACAATAAAAAAATGTGCTATAAATGCGCATATATAGTATCACTGATTGTCATTTTTTTTCCCTCAACCCAGATAAGTACTCTCTTCTTGGAGTTAGAAAGGATTACTGGAATTTTGTTAGTGAATGCATTCCTAAAGATGATGGGGTACGACTTGTTCATGCCATTCCGCAGGTATTGTACACATGTATATTCAAGATAAGCTAAGTACAGGTGTTTTTTGTTGTTATCAGTTTCCATTTATTGTTGCTATATTGTAAAACAATTGGCTTTTTATGAGTCAGATTAGTAGTCAGATGCATTTACACATTTACTACAACTATGTGCTGTGTCTCAAAAACAAAGTTTAAACAGAAAATAGCCAGTTTAAAGACAGTTTAACCACAACAGACAAAGGCAGTTCCTCCTTTCGGTAGTCACAGCATCTTCAATTGGTGAACATTTCCTTTATTAATATCACCCCTGAATGTTTGATTCAGGGGTGAAAATGTAAGAAAAAATTAGATGATTGTTACTCTTGGGATTCAAGGGTGAAAATTTATTAAAATGTAATTAATTTGTAAAGGAAAATAATTATTCTAAAGGGTTAAGAACTAATCCACTTATTCATTAGTCAGTGAGAAAGCATCTTTCTGCAAAAAAAAGGAATATGATATATTTTGTCAATGTTAGATGTGGAGTTCATAATTTAATTTGTAGGAGTGTATATGATAAGCTAAATTATGCATATGGTTTGATTGGTTCTTACCAATGATCTATTGGAGAACAGAAGCAAAGATGAGGTCACCATTTGCTACACTCACTATTTAAAATGAATAGCTTCCATGTTGCTGTAGGTGTGTTCAGTAAAAGATCACAACTAAGAAACTTCTAAATGTAGCAAGAAATTCAGTGACACACTCAGCTGCGCCTAAGGCTTGTGTGCCACTTCTTTTTTCGAAACCACATTTTGACATCATCTGCACAGCAACATGGAGTTTATTTGTAAAATATCTGATGCTGTTTCATTTGAAGGTCAAGACACCTCAGGGCAAAGGACGAGCTTTTATTCGATACTCTCTGACAAAAAAGTCATTGGCTGATGCAATTCAAAGGTGCTTGGTTAAACGAAAACAACTGAGGTAGAGAATTTGAAAATCTGATTATTTGCTAATTCTGTACATATATATATCTTTGATTCCATGTGTTATAGATTATGAGCATTCCCTGTTTTTTGGTGAAGTCCATTGTATGGGTAAAAAAAGCAAATAAAAATGATTGATGTCTGCTCACAGCTTAGAACTCCCCCAAATCTGCCAATATTTGTGCTTTCCCATCTAATAAGAATGCTGCTTTGCAAGTTAGGGTTGCATTGACATTTTTCACATTGCTTTGATTAAAAAAAAAAAGTTTTTGTAATTGTTTAGTTAAATATGTCACTTTATATGAAGGTTGACCAAGTATGGCAGTACTTATTTTGCTGTTAACACTTTCATTTCAGTGCATACTTTGGCCCTGAGGCAATTCTCTGCCACCCATCTTTGTCAACTGCTCTGGTTAACAAGTTGTATGACTTGAATGATCTTGAGTTTGATCTTCCTGTTGCTGGACATGAGCTTGATATTTCATGGCCAGCTTTCACAAGGTATAGTTAGTTGGTAATTATGCATAGATCAATTTGAAGTTTTATCATCCTCCCTCCTTCAGCAACCCATGGTCATAAGACTGTCCTCTGTGGCTGAGGGGTTGGGGAATTTTTAAACTTGCCTGGCTGTGGTGGGGAATTTGAACCAGAAGTGTCAAGTCCTTTCAGTGGAAAAAAAAATTCATCTTTTAATATGAAGTTTTTAAAGGTAACAAATTTACTTTTGCAAGGGAATGACATAAAAGAAAAGGTGTACAAGGTCTAGGTTTAAAGCTTGGTCAATGAGTAGTAAGTCATCGTTTCTGATTTTGCCTTTTACAAAAAAAATTGATCTATCAAATCTGTCACTTGGGTAAGGAAATTCGAACAATCAGATCTTCAAAAATTCAAATACCCAGTGGGTTGCCATCGTCCTAGTGGATTTGAAATGATTGACACATTACCTACCAGAACAGGTTATAGAGGTTATACTCGTGGACAGGAATATCATCCAACCTAACTGTTTTGTTTTGTTGTTGTAGGAGACCCTTAGGAGATCGTCAAGGCTCAGTGTCTGGTAGAAGAAGCAGTATTAGCAGTGTAACTAGTGTCGATTTAAGGGTGAGCAGCGATCCTAAAGTTTTTCCAGGTTTTATTTCCGCAGTTCAAGATTACGATATCCATATATTCACAGTTGTTCATCACTACACGGTTTTATTACCAGCTGAACCAACTTGATAACCAGCTCCTAGATGGCTTGTTAGCTCAGTTGGTAGAACACTGCACCGGTATCACGGAGGTCATGAGTTCAAATCCCGTTCAGGCCTGAATTTTTTTCAGGGTTTATTTTCACTACTGCTTAGTGTTCGGTATGCAATGATCACTCTCATCTTCATTTATTAATCTGCAGTACGAATATATGATATTCATATATTCACAGTCGTTAATACTTTATCATGCTCCTTCTTTAGATTAGAAAAAATATATATTAATTCTTTTCCACAAGATGGTTTTCCGAAAAAAGATGTTTCAACATTTGTCACCGTGGAAGAGCCCTCGTGAGGTTCGAACCTTAGACTTCGGAGTAACACATTCTTTCCTCCTTCGATTGGTTGTTGTGGTTACTTAGGTTTTGATTCCAAATGCCTAAATGAAATCCCTGTAAATCTGTAAGCCTGATCTTTTAAATGATTGTTTCTTGTGTTAGCTCAGAATGATATCTAGGGCAAAATAACGCGGGATTTTGGGGACATGACTTAAAATCTCGAGCGACATAACTCAAGTTTTGGGCGAGATGACATTCGGTCGACTTGACCGGTTACTGTTCTTTCGCCCGTCAGATTATTTTTCCAGACAAATTAAACGCAAGAAATGTATTCGTGTTCTTTTATCATTAATTATTTGTTTCGTATTCTCCGTTTAGAATGAGAGGCCCGATCCTCTGATTGGTCTAGCATCAGAAATCACCGCATTAACAACAATTTTAGGGGATGAAAATTCTCTTGGAAAGGCAGAGCGAAGTGAAGCTGGTTTCGATAATGTCAGCATTGGCGATTCAGCGGTCGATACCCCCAACATTACTGATATGACGTTGGAAATTTCTCATCTTCACCAACGGATTCTAAAATGGAAGGGTGATCTGGAATCTCAGTTGTCTAAAGCTTGTCATGATGCGAAGAAAGCGCACGACGAACGAATATTTGCGAA